TTATTTGACAGAGAGAGAGATCACAAGTAGGCAGAGAGAGGGGGGGAAGCAGGCTCCCCGCTGAGCGGAGAGCCCGATGCAGGGCTCAATCCCAGGACCCTGGGATCATGACCTGAGCCGAAGACAGAGGCTTAACCCACTGAGCCACCCAGGCGTCCCTTGGGTTCTTCTGCATCTTGTTCCCCATCCCATTCTGGGACTGTACCTAGGGAAGCCTCCTAGTGGTACATGGTGAAGCTTCCGTGCGTGGGATGCCGCGTGAGGGAAGGTCAGTCAACACAGACTGGAATGAGATTCCTCATCCCTTCCCCTTCCCGGACCTGTCACGCTGAGGCCGATCGGGTTCTTGCTGGGTCTCCCAATACAGTCCCCAGGTGCCTTTCCTATGTATGTCCTGACATGGCTGCCTCCTTGCCCATCCTCAGGAGGACTATGGGGCTCTTGAAACGTCAGTGGACTTCAACTGCGTTTCTGGGCCTTGTGGGGGGTCCTATATCTGCTCCCCTTTTCTTCTGGGGTCCCTGGGCCTACCGAGTGGCAGAGGGACAGGAGAGCCTGCACTCTATACTCAGGAAGCATGCTCATTAGGAAGATTACTTCCTGTCCTGTCACAACCACATGCAGATGCCCAGTGTCCCCAGCCGGTGCTGCATGGCGAATGGACCGAGATAATGATCGCCACAGCCTGTGTTTACCGGGCGCTTCCTGGGAGTCAAGGATTCCGCTCTGGGCTTCACACGCATCATCTTGCTTGCTTCTCACCTGAACCCCCTGAGCTTGGGTGCAGTGGGCCTCGTTTTACGTATGAGGAACTAGAGCCCTAGAGAAGTGACTCGATCAAGAGGTCACAGCAAGAGTTTGGCAAAGCTGGCATTTCGGCATCAAAATCCAAGCTCCCAATCACTGAGCCCTACTCTTGGTCACACAGTCTCGGTTTTGCACCTTCCTCTGTCTCTAAACTGTCAGGGTAAGAAAAATGTAATTTCATGAGGAATGGAATCAAAAACAGCAAACTCTGTGGGGTGCCTGGCTGGCTCAGTCCCTGGATGGAACAGGCAGCTCTTGATCTTGGGGCTGTAAGTTCGAGCCCCATATTGGGCATAGAGCTCACTTAAGAGTAAAATCCTTTAAAAAAAAGTCAAGACGCCAGCAATTTTCTGTAGGACTATTTAGACTCAGTGGCACCCCAGCATTATCGAGAGATGGGTTGGGGGGGGAAGGGCACCTCTTCAAGGACTGTGGCTTAGGTGTTTGGTTGGTATAAGCCATATAACTTCAGGCTGTTCGTGACCTTCGGTTTCCTCGTTTGCCAAGTGAGAATTCTAGTAGTAGTTCCCTCTGCGAGCTGTGGGAACAATTAGGTGAAGTACTGTGTGTAAAGCCCTCAGTCTGCTAAGGGCTTCCTCAGCACTAGCTGTGACCAACGCTGTGTTCTTCGGTCCTCCTGACATGCCTATACGGTCAGGTGTCGCTTGCCCTTCCCTAAGTGGACCCTGGTGGGCCTGGCCTCAGCTCTTACTGTAGCTTCTCTGGTTTCTCGGGTATTTCCGTCACAAGAAGCCGCCCCCTGCCACCCAGCTGCTCTCACTGTGCAAGGGAGGAGCTAGATGAAGACAGTTTTTCTGTTCTCTTGGCTCTGATTTCCGGCTCCTCACATCAAAACTCAAGACCCGCCCCACAGTTCTAGCCTGGTAGGCTCTCTTCGCCACCAGGAAGGGTCTACGCTCTTAGGTTCTGGTCTGGGTTTTAGTTTCACTCCTGATCATCCAAGTAC